GTGGCTTCCACCCATGCGGATTCTCGTCAGCTCTTCTAAAAATGACCTTAAGTACGAAGCCAGGACATTATTACAGCTACATAGGTGCTCGGCTTGTCCCCACGTTTTGACGTACAATTTTGGTGATCTGACCGTCCAACGTAGACGTTTGTGCTAACTTCAGCACTACTTATAAAGTCGCTGAGAATTCCATTTTCCTCTTCGTACTTCTTGAGGCTTCTAGGGTAGGCACGGTCCACAAATCTTCGCCGAGATCGAAAAACTTAGTGGTTACGGCGAAAACTTACTGGTCGATAGGTCCGTGGTTCGAACCCAACCCGGACACCTTGACTGCTCCTCTCTGATAGTACCTCAGCCCTTGTATTTCCGTTGGGCGGTATGACATCTAGGCACCAAAATGGGTGCGTCAGCTAGATTAAACTCTTGTCAACTTTGATTCCCGATTGAAGACGGATTTTTACTAACTCTCATTTGCTGATCGACTGTGATGTTCATTTGAATTTCACTCGAATCTCCCATTTAAAATATTCCTAAGCGGTAGAAATATTTGGTTGATGCGAATTCGAATATTAAGTCAATCTGATGAACTCAAAAAAGGTCAGCATCAATAGTGGGCTACCCAGCGTTTTCATCATCCCCACGGACAGTTCTGAACTGCAATTCGATAGATTGAATATCGTTCTAATTGAAATAGGAAGAACACGTATATAGTACATTCAGCTCGAGAATAGGACAGGCCAGAGATTAAGCTGGGATTCAGTGAATTCTGTGGTTAACAACTGCTCAGTTTGATGTTGAATGCATCTGTCATTTAGTACATGTGAGCTGGATCGCACTTTAGTCTCGAATGTCATCTTGTCACTCTCTATATTGGATAACAAAATAAGTCCATGTGGAGCTGCCACATGTCACGCATGCGGAAATATCGATAATCGATTTCCGTGTCTCCTTCAAAATGGCGCAATGCGCGGATATATTGGCCGGAGATTGTAGAAGAAATCAGGGAGAATTTGGATGTTGTTGGTGTGACCACCTTTCAAAAGTGGGCCCCTTACGTCCGGCTGGGGGTATCGAAAGAGATGGTGGCCAATTGATTTCAGTAGCACTCCTGTTATCAGTCTGTTTTCCAGGGGTTTCAACACCTCAGAATGCTTGCAATAAGCTCCCTTACTCACTACTTTCCTCCTATTTTCACTTTAGGGTTTTGAGTACAATTATCTAAAGTCTGGTTTTACGGCAGCGAAGACTCAGCATCAGCCCTAATGTTGCTGTTCCCAGGTGATGATGAAGTGCTTGCACCTGTGTTATTGATTCTTCTGGTTGTATGCTGAAACTCAAGCCTCCTTTTCTCGAAACCTCTGGAGGTTTACTAAGGCCCTTTTAATCTCGACTTTCCTATCGGTTTAGGAAACACTCGAGGTGTTTGGTTGCTCTATGTAAATCTCATCAATTTTCTTTGTTTTTTTTTNAATTTTCTCTTGTTTTTTTTTCAAGCATCTTTCAGGAGTCTTTGTCTCTTTTGAAATGAGAACTTCATGAAATAAAGTTGCTCAGTTAAGGCAGTCAACATAGCGTATAACAGAGCAACTGATTGGATCTCAATAAATTCCTAACTATAGACGTAGCGTTGACAACAAGCCAAGAACGTGACCTATTGTTCAGTGGACTTACCAGAAGCGAGGATGGGATGAACCTCTACAATTAAATTTTTTGGCTTTAACACGGTCCAAACATCGAAATGCAAGCCAGACTAGCTCACTAAACACTGGATGTTTGAATGTTGAAGTGGTACGTGTTCTCTTGATCCTGATGAGAAGTGTCAAACAATTTGATCAATGAATTCGGTGGGAGTTGAAATTATCACTCTCATGGTCCGCTACCGTTGTCTGATTTTTAACCTACTATCAAATTTATAAGTAGTTTAAGTTGACTGACGACTTGTATACCGCTTCACTGTGTCCTTCACAGAATCTGGAAGAGGATTTTGAGGTGAGCATATCCTACCTGGAAATCTACAATGAGAACGGATATGATCTACTGGATACGCGATATGCTGTGGCCAAGAAAATGGAAGATTTGCCGTAAGTAGCTACTAACTCCGGTCCTTCTCGGTGGCAAACATCAAAGGTTCCAACTATTCAGTCACTTGATCTTGACTTTCCCATGTATTCGATTGCTAGTATTTCTTGGATTCCTTTGTACCAGCTGTGCACCCCTCAAGTGATCATCGCAAGAGGTAGATCTTTGAACTGATAAATGAATTTCTTCACGACCCAGCTGACCAAGCAGTTTGCCGTGAGGGCGTGAGATGTTTGTTTGAACAAGCTTAGCTTGTAACCTACGCGGCCCAGGAATGAAACAAACAGGTATACCTTCTTTGGGTGAAGTTTCAGCGCAAATTTACTGACCAGAATGTCCGTAGCTTGAACTCAACATGAGTATCTCGACTGGCCTGAGAGCATATCAGGTCTCGAGCTTCCTTCGGGTTGCGTGACAGCTATGCACCGAAAGATTGACCTGGTTAACTGCCTTTTAGTTCTCAGGGCAGTCTTTCTTCAGAAGGAATAAACAGATCGACGGACCATGTTCTGATGAAATTGTTTTTAATCGGTCCACTGACATTAGGTTTCTTTCAGTTGACCTATTGCACAAATTCTTGGATCCCCTTCTCGTTTTGCCCACAGACGAGTCACCCTGTTCGAAGACACAGAGGCTGGAACAGTTCATCTGAGAAATTTATCAATTCATCCGGCTGTGGGGGTTGATGAGGCACTAAATCTGCTGTTTACGGGTGACACCAATCGCATCATTGCCGAGGTAAGACAATCAACCTGACTTTCGTGCTCTTCACATTCGTTTATATTAAAATTCTCGGCATTGGAGTTCTGGCCGCGTGAACTTTTTGCAAGAATATATTTGGCAATGAAAAGACCTCCATACAGCCTTCAAACTAAAGTGTCTATTGCATTTCTCGGCTTCCATAAATAGAAGTCTGCTGTCGTCTCAGTAGAATGATGCAGGAGTTCCCGGATATGCAGTCCCAAATGGGGCTACCCCCTCCCAGAAACATCAGTAAGCTTCCACATAGTCCCACGCTTTTGTTTTTTGAGCAGAAGTAGACTCGCGACCGTAAAGTCCTGCATATGATGGTGACGGACAAAATGGAACAGGGAGAAAAGCGTTGTGAAGCGAACTCACTTTTTTCGAGAGAATCGACCGTATCTAATTGGAAACTTCTTTTCATACCAAGGCCACAAACATGTTCCTTGTGTTAGACACGTAAACGGTTGCTCAGACGAGACAACAGATTGAGGAGAACTCTCAGATCCCTTAACAGATAGTGGCCGGTAGACAAGAGGTGGCCAGTTCTGTATGATCTTACTGTCAGGGGCAATACTGACTTGTTTTAACCGGCAAGCTGGGGATCCTTTTGGCTTTTGGATTTTCCATTCTTGAATTTTGTTGAATTCAATATCCTGAATACCTTCCTATGTGGGCCACGTATCAGATTTGAAAATAGCGGTCGGGATTTCACTCTGTACCAGTCCCACTCAGAGTGGAAAGCCTGTCATAACTGAGGAGCTGACACACATCGAGGAATTTTTGAAAATAGGGTCGGGATTTCACTCTGTACCAGTCCCACTCAGAGTGGAAAGCCTGTCATAACTGAGGAGCTGACACACATCGAGGAATTTTACAGAGATAGAAAGTAACAAGACTTTAGATCGTTCATCTGGTGCATCCAGAAGAAGAAATTAGATAAGTTCAAACATTTCGCTCGCCACCCAACAGAACCTCCTGAGTCTTCTCACTTATATGAAAACATCACAGGTTGACTTATCTCAGGTTCTACGTTCTTTTGAAAGATCTTCCACATAGCCTTTCTCTTTGCAAAGGAAAAAACACGAACTTCTTGGTCTCTTGTTCCAAAAGTTGTGTTGTCGCATCTGCTTGAATTTGCCCGACCTGGCTTAGATTCTCTGCCCCGTTTACAGAAGTTTTCATGACGCTGTTCGGTGGACACGATGATATCTCAACGAATGAATTGTGAAGGAACGTCTGAAAGTCAACTGTCAAGCTCGGCGGGCAGCTCAACAGCCACCTGATCAATGAGTGCCACGTCGATTGTCAAGCTCGGCGAACAGCTCAACAGCCACCTGATCAATGAGTGCACCCGAGCTTCCGACATATTACCAAGGCTGGGGCCCTTATCAAGTTGTCCTCCAAATTTAGGGTCTACTTATTCCCTAGTTCAAGACTAAAAGCAACAACCTCCTTTCCCAAATTAAACTTCCTGAGCCCAGGTAGCTCACTGGCTTGATTCAAATACTTTTTTGGGCTGGTCAAATATGGGTCTATGCATGGATGACTTCAAACTGGGAACGGGTCACTGTCTTGAAAACTGCTTGCATATATCGGTTCATAGGTAAGGGGCGTAAAAAATGCTTACTTAGAAGTATTTCCCCCTGAGTGACGTAATGACGTCGTCGGCTTCCGGAAATCGAGCGTTTTTCCGTTTACTACGTTCACTTATTCGGTGGAGATCCTTGAAGGTCTGGGAGCCTTTCAAGCCCAAGGCTTGTACCTCGGGAAACGAAAGTTTAAGCAGTCACCTGACCGTCCAAATTAATCAAGCCAAGAATTACGCCCATTTCTGAGGAGTTGCGGTGGAGATCCTTGAAGGTCTGAGAGCCTTTCAAGCCCAAGGCTTATACCTCGGGAGACGAAAGTTTAAGCAGCCAGCTGATCGTCCAAATTAATCAAACCAAGAATTACGCCCATTTCTGAGGAGTTGCCGTTTAGAGCAAGTACGCCTCATTCTCACTCAGTTCAGTGTCACGGTCGTTGGTTTCCTGTACATTGAATAGCCCGCTGACCACTCTAGCGTTGGTAGTGACTCAGATGTTGCCACTGCTTAGTGGAATCTAAGGAACATCCCAAAAATGTGGCTGTATTCAGCGAATTTCCCTCGTGTGTTGTTGGTGTTGGAGAAATACACTCGTTTGCAAATCAGTTTGGTTTTCACGGGAGACTCAACTGAATCTCTCGTTTATGATGTCCTCCAAGTGAATGTGCTGCACACAGGCCGCCTCAATTCAATTGAGTCTCCTGTGAAAACCAGATTGATTTGCAAATGAGTGTATTTCTCGAAATCAGTCCAATGTGGATTCAAGTAGATCATAAGGTTGACGGAAACTGGGGGACTGCGCCTACCTGATGAGCCCCAAGCAGGGCGAAACCGGTCTTGGGCTGTCGAAGAGTTTTCAGCAACCTTGTGAGCAGTTTCCTTTATGAAATGTGGTGTTGTTATGACACGGGAAAACTAACTCCGATTCCAATGCAATTTCAGACCCCAACGAACGAGGCCTCATCACGGTCGCACTGTATTTTCACTCTGCACATTACGTCAAGATCCCGGACATCTTCCACTGTTCGTCGAGCGAAACTCCATTTGGTCGATTTGGCCGGGTACGTGATGCTTTAAATACATTCAATTCAGCTTAAGGATTTACACTGATGATGAAGTATCGATTTTTTACGTTTGACTATTACTGGGTCTGAGTGATCGTTGAAATCACGTGTTATTTTTGCCAGGCCTTCAACTTCGTAGCTCACAATCATTCACCCACTAGAAAATGTTGTGAAATTCAGCGAAAACCTTTCCGACAAAGTGGTCAAGCATTATTGAATGTTTCTCTGTTTATTTCGCATATGCTATCAGGGAAAACGGGCTTTCTTATCACCTAACGGGTGCAAAGTATACTTTTAGTCAACTGACTTCACGTGACCAGCTTTTACTTCGGGTGCATTAGAACTGATAACATAAACAAAGTTGACTCGGTACAGTGAGTACATATCACTTGACCAGGATGATAGTTGTCCTGAATCAATAACCTCGGGAAAATCAATATCGATCGATTTGCGCCCGCACATAGAATGCAGTTTGGAACAGGATTAACTATTACGACAGGTTATGCCATTTTATTACTAACCTGGCAGATACCCCATGCCGCTAAGATTCAAGCCATCTTCCCCACATATCCCTCGTATGCTCAAGCGACCGCCTTACGAATGTTCGAGTCGGTTGTGAATCTTCTGCTGAGCCCACACAGAGTATAGCGTTCTCATCCTTCGATCACATGAACCCCATCACGTGTTCACCCATGTTGACTGGTTCCTCGAGTGACAACTTCTCAAATCTGGTTAAATTATTCTTCCCTCTGACAGATCATTGGTATTGCAAAGCGATTTGATGAGATTTCATTCTGTAACTTGGAGAGATCTATGCTGAAAACACGAGAAACGCTGTATGGTTGTTTCGGAACCATCAGCACTGTTTCTCGTGAAAATCCTGTAGAGTATTGAACTCGTGGCTTCTCGGCTAGTAGTTTGAACGTCTAACCGTTTGACTGCGAGCGTTTGATCAACAGCGTGAATAGCTCTCACGTTGACAGGAAGCCACATCGCGTGTTTATAGGTGTTGATTGGCTTCTCGAGTAACGACTTTTCCCGGCAGACCACGCTTGTATTCAAACGTCTCGCGGCGCAGATACGATGACTTTTCCATTTTTCTCTTGTGTACTTAGTGACTAGGTGAAATGAAACTATCCATTTGCAATCAAATAACCTCGTGTTGGCTTCGTCACGTTGAGCATATGCTATTGATTAGGCCCTAAAACTTCAAGAATAGCCTTTAGGGATTAATAAGTTGAACCGCAGACAAAGCTCAGAGATGAAAACAATCAGGTTAGTTCTAACGCACGTGTAAACGCGATAGATGCTAGATTCAACCGAAGATCCACGGCCCAAATAGATTCTGATGTGACTGCACACATGATAGTAGTTGATTCGGTTCAAATTGTGATCTTTATTCGGTCAAAGGTTCATCAAACAGTTTTATGCTATTCATTAGCAACCGCAGGTGGGTTCGAAACGCATTGTCCCTTTGAAAGGGGTTTTACGACGTCACAATACCCTGTCTCGTATCCTAGTCTGGCTCGAAATGTGTCCCTATTCGTTTTGAGAATCTCGACAACTCCCAAACGTCCCTACTGAGGTGCATTCTATCAGGAGTTCCACAGGAAACGACGTTTACAACCCAAAAGATTGGTCGTCAGCTCTACATGTTTGAATTCACCTATGTATGTGCTGAAAACTTCCTGTTACTCGATTGTCCCATGTTCCTCCCCGTTCAGGTCGGAACGAGTTTACAAGTCCGGTATCGACGGAACCACGTTGACCGAAGCGAAGTACATCAACTTGTCTCTTCATTACTTGGAACAAGTAAGCTACTGTGTGGTTGGCCTTGGGATTGAATGCTACTCACATGAAACACTAAAGTTGCAAAACTCGTGCATAGTTCCCATTGGGAGGGGACTGGATACTTGTTACTCTTGATATATCTGATAATATATGATGATGTCCATAATACAATCGGAATACATGTGCACTAATAAAGGTTTTTAGTATAGTTGGCAATGGTGAGATACCACACGTGAGAAAATAAACACAATGCAAGTCCGAAAGGAGAACTCAGCATCTGTGAGAGTTCCTTGGTGAGGATGGCGGGAACGTGTTTTCTCCGCAGTGTGGCTGCTACACGTGTTCCAGGATTGTCCGCGGAGAGTGGTTGGCTTCCTGCTCCCTGCGCGCGCGCGAGTTTGTGTGCTGACTATGTGCTGACAATGTGCGGTTTTCCTATACGTAGGTCTGTTTGCGTGTACGTGGTACGTCTGCAGATGTGTTGTTGCTACACCCACTAGACGGTGCAAACAGTCGATGTCCGATGAGTCACCTCAATGTGAGGTGGTTTGTGAGTATGAAAAAAGACAAGTCTCGTGATCCGGTGAGCGACTGTGAGTTGAGCAGTCAAGTGTGTGGGTGCAGGGATTGTACGTGGTTTGAGTGCTTGTGACGCGTGATTTGATGATCGCTTCGCAGTTAACAGTCAGTATCTGAACCGATTTTGGTGATGCTGGGGGGCTTGTTCCAGTGATTTTCACCTATGAAACTGAGTAAATATCAGTGGTTAGTACATCACTTGGCTCAAAAAAAGTTAACTCAAATTTACATAGAGAAGGCTTGCCAAGAGAGGGACTGATAAGGACTTCTACCTTTGTCATCGCGATGACAACAAAAGCACGACGAGAACGGCAGGTGGGACTGAGATCTGTAAAGCTTGGTACAGATGAAACCTTTCACTCTGCGCGACTTTAGAAAAAAACCATATGTGCAGGCAACCCAAAGCCCTTGATGCACCAGTTTACGTTGAACTGTTTGTCCATCCACTGGAAATCTCTCCACAGTTTGGTGATGTTTTTCCTACATTTTCTAATTACTTAGTACATATTTAGCTATCCTCAAGCTTTCTCCATCCAGGATACCTTCACACATACTAGTGTAACGGTGATACTACTGATGGGGAGGCATGCGAGTAGGATGTGTTGTTCTTGTAAATTCGCTTTGCGTCTCTTGAAAAGGGAAAATCTGTTGCGGAATTTGTAGACCCGCTTTGTAGCATTTGCTTGTATTTGAGCAATGAGTGATTTGAGTCTATGAATATCCAGGAAAGTTCAAGAAGACGCGTTCAGGAGAAGATGGATGCTCAGTTTTTGTAAATAAGATGCAAATGAGAGCTTTGCTTCTCTGTCCAATAGTCTGTAACTGGTCAGTTGGCATTTTGTGGTAAATAACTCTCCGCAGCGAAGGCCTTCTTCCTTTCACTAGGTCGGTGTGTGTCTGCGTACTTGACGCCGAGGTCCTTCAAAGCGTCGTATTCAAAGCACTGTAGAGGATGTTGCCTTTATGAAATGTTTTGATGTAATTATCTTGAAAAAGACAACCCATAACGTCGCTGAAAACACTCTGGTGCCCGACAACCGGTTTAGTCCGTCCTGTTCGGGCACATTAGGGTGGCGCAGTCCCCAAGTTTTCTTAAGCCTCCAACTGAATATGCTTCAATAAGGATGTCCCGTGTTTCGGTCAGTACGATATCTGAGACATGGCAGTGAGTGTTCTCGGAGAAAAATGGTCCATCTTACACAAAAGTACTTTCTAGAATCCTAGCATGTGATGTGTGTTTTTGGATTCACATGTTTGGAATAACGGCACAATTTTCGAACCGCTACAGTTGATCGGACGGTTGTGAACTAAATATCCTCAAACTTTTGAAGTTTTTCATGTCAAAAGGGTGTAAAGTTCAACATCATTTGTGCGTTCTTGTAACCTGATGACCTTTGTTGGCTAGAAGGCCGAGAGGCATACAGTTTTCGACAGTCCGAGAAAACGAAACGAGTTTTCACTCAGAAACTGAGCACTCTACTTGCGAACTATTCACAGCACTACAACTGACTGGCATTCCGAATTTTGAAAATTGCAGAACAGAGAATTGGCACGATTTAAAAGAAATGGGAGAGCCCACGGACGTCTCAGGTAGTGTTCACAAGATCCAGTACCAGGTCCATGTGAACTCGCCTTGCTTCCTGTTGCGGGCTGTTGCTGAAAACACACCGACTTTCAGATCGAATTTCCAACGTTTGGTCATATTTCGTCTCACAGACCAATTTGAAGCAAACATCTTTCCACAATAACAGCCTTCAAAGAATGCAGCAGAAAATAAGCAAATGAAGTGAACTAACTTAGGTCTATCACCATGATGGTTTACGATCCCACGATTTCCCGATCCCAGAATACTTTTTCTGGGAAACGTGTGCGTTTATCGAACGATGTCTAGCCAGTTTAATCAATAATATCATCACTTCGTGTTGGATGAACTGTTTATGACTATTTGAAATGCGCAGATGCGATGTAATTATGTCCGAAAATGTGTCTTCCAGTCATCGGAAAGGATCAGGGCTCCCATTGTCCGCAGTACAAATCGATTTAACTTTCACCTACTCAGACTAAAAAGTAGTATATTTTCTGAGTGAAATATGCGAAACCCCTGAGGCTAAACTGAGAGTTGTGTTGGAAGGACATTCGCAATCCCATTCAACAGTTTTCCAGCTAGCTCTTGTGACTGTTTCCAATGGAAGTGACACAGAATAAGGTATCGTCGCCTAGTCAGCTGAGTTTTCTTTTCGAGATCTAGTGGGAAATCATTTGGTTGGCCTCACTGATCAGTCATCTGACCAGTTTGTATGGCTTGGTGAGAAATCATTTGGTTGGCCTCACTAATCAATCATTTGACCAGTTTGCATGGAAAACAAAGATGTAAAACACATGTCCATTGGTTGCTATTTTGAGAACCGATTTGAAAACGTGAATTAGGACACTTGAACCATGTTTCTTTCTTATAAATTGAAATACCGGTCACTGCGTGCTTGAAACCGCTCAAAACATTCTCGTTTGATCGATTCCCCTACTGGACGGACGGGACTAGTCCGTTGGTCCATACCAATTTCAAATTTTCTGTTTGGGTAGAGAATTCTGACAGATAGTCACTGAAAACCCCTTGGATACAGGAAAGTATTATGCCGAATTTCAAAGCAGACGGTTGGAAACTTTGGCCAGTAGTGTAAGACTACCGGACCAAATTTCATCGACTCAGTAAGTCACACTTGCTAAGAAAAACCGACCGGTTGACTTTTCAAATCAATGTGTTTTTTAAGCGCGACATTATTATTCCAAATGTCTGGCTGGGCCTACCAGGTGTTACGGCCCTGACGCCAGATTTAGCTCGAAGTACTCATTCGGTTACGATTAGCTGACCGTGTCATTTGCGGTGGCAACCTCAGGAACTTATTGTTCCTCAATAAACTATCGATCGATATTGCCTGGATATCAACCAATCAATCGAAGGACTGAAGTCTTCAACCCCGAAGGACCAAAGTCCACTTTCTTCCAGATGGGTATTTAGATTAAAATCGATTAAAAGGAAGCTTGTAGAAACAAAATAGATTCAGCTCAAAGCTTCAACAGAGCATCAGTGCTTGACAAGTCAGATCTCTGGGGTTCTTCTAACTTTCTGTTTACACTAGCCGAGTTTACTTCATCTTTTCACCAAACAGGTCATTGTCGCGCTTTCCGAGAAACAACGCTCTCACATTCCCTACAGAAACAGTATGATGACAATGATATTGCGGGACAGTCTCGGCGGGAACTGCATGACCTCGATGATTGCGAACTGCAGTGCCGAACAGTGTAACATACAGGTGAGTTTGGTCGCAAAGTACGCAAAATTTTCCCACATATTTCACAAATTTTTGGGCGCTAAATGAAGGAGAGATTGCTTTTGTGTGCCAACCACTCCGGACCGACGTCAGGATGGATCATCCATAAACCAGTTAAAATCCAACCTGCAAAGCTGGGAAACATTCAATTACTAATCGGGGTGAAGAAAATTCTACTACGTGACCAAATATCTGACAACAGATCGAAATAATCAATCAATAAACAATACATTAAAAAAATCAATACACAATCAATAACCAATAATCAATGCCTCGTTGGTCCGTGAATAAGCGATCAGTATGCCCGAGTGGGACAGGCATTCAGAAGGCATAAGGTGGTCAAGCCTCTGTTAGCCAATCAAAAATTGACAGACAATAGACACCATTCGCAACACGAGAACCAATCGTCAGTTTTGGTGTGAATAAACTACCATTTCAAATGTGTCATTTTGACAGTCTCTTTGCCATTGCTTTTCTACAGGAGACAATAGCAACTTGTCGATTTGCCCAACGCGTAGCTCTAATAAAAAATGATATGATTCTCAATGAAGAACAAGATCCCCATGTGGTCATCGGTCATTTGAAAGCAGAAATTGAAAGATTAAAGGCAGAACTGGCTTTCACAACAGGGACGGAGCAGGAACTGACAGAAGAGGAAAAAGAGAGGTAAGCGACCTGGAACGATTTTCGCTTAATCTCGAGATATCTCAGTGGTTAGGGCACGAGAATACTGATCCGAAGGTCCATGGTTCAACCCCGACCCTCGGATCTCGACTATTTAGGTTTTAGACACTTTCGGTTTGCATGAGAGCCATACGCTAAAAGGGTATTGCGGCTCAATGATATTCTACACATACGCGAAACGGTTTGGATAACCACCTGTGTAACGGTGATACTACTGATGGGGGCATGCGAGTAGTATGTTTTCTCGCAAATCCGCTTTTCGTCTCTTGAGAAGTGAGATCTACTATGGGGTTTGTGGAGTCACATTTGCTAGGATTTGAGCAACAGCCAATGAATACCCAGGAAAATTCAGGAAGACGCGTTCAAGGAGAAGAGGGATATTCAGTTTTTGTAAACAAGATGCATATGTGAGTTTTGCTTCCCTGTTCCATAGTCTGTAACTTTTCACCGGTAGTGTTGACCCTGAAATCACCAAACACAGCTATCCTGCCACACTTTCTATCGGTCACTTTCGATTATTCATCTCCTGAGTAAAGTCAACCCTGGTAATCTCAACGCAGATTAATGCATGTCTCTTCTATTCCCAACACACTACTCATAAGGTCGCTGAAAAGTCTTCGACAGCTTTACCCCATCTGCGGTTCTGTTATTTACCCAAACGTCCCCGTAAAGACATTCATTTTACTCCTTGTGGACAACAAGCGCAGATTTACTTCCGAGACCCTCATTGGGTTCCACAAGACTACCCCTGTACCGTTCTGTCGCCCTTTTCAAATTGCTTCGTCATCCTCGAATAAGGTTACACTTTGGTTACAAAAATATTTCCCCTTGGAAAAAAACTTTCACCATGAGCAAGACGCACATGGCGCGCAAACTGTTTAGCTCGTCCGAACTACTTTTCGTATGAAATGTGCACTCAAAAATCCCTAATACCAACGTGTCACACCTCAGTGCACCAGAAAACGTCGATGCACCGACTTTTTGTGTTGCTCTGTGAATAGTTCTGAGGCACACCGGTAATGCCATCTTAGTGAGTGTTGAAAAAGTGAACAAACCAGCGACGAAGGGTCTCCGCACCACCGGTGTCACAATACACGTTGACATTCACGTTATCCCACCCAATTTCCAAGCACCCAGGGAAGAAACTGTTGGATAAGAACAGTCGAAGTGGTAAGCTAACTTCGTTTTGACTCCGGTTCGATAGTCCAGCGTCTTGAAAGCATTCAGTTTTGCGCTCCACAGTCGGGTGACAGAAGGCGGTCGTACCGAGAAAGATATCTCGTCCACTTTCGTGATGGACTCTTTTTTTGAAAAGCATAAAATCTTCGAGATGTTCTCTGAATGGAAAATTTTACCGGAATGCCAAATTCGGTCACCATCAACTCGATTGGTATTGAAGAAACAACGCAGAGGTATCACAAAAACTTGATGAACCAGAAGTCAGCTTCCATTGATAAGAATGCCGCATGTTTTGATAAAGGAAACTACTCACACGGTTGCTGGAAACTCTTCGACAGCTCACGACCGGTTTCACCTTTCTTGGTGCTCATCAGGTAGGCGCAGTCCCCGAGAGGCTCAACTGCATGTCTCATTTATGATATTCTCCAATTAATTGTACTGTACAAAGGTGACCTCATGTTTCAGTTGGTACGAGATTCGAGAAGTATACTTCAAAGGGTACTAAGAAGGGTTATCGAAGGGTTTTCAGCAACCTAGTGGGTAGTTTCCTCTATGAGAATACACTGACCTACCTTTATTGAATGTAATGGGTTAGTTTTGGTATTCAAAACCAGATTGATTTGCAAATGAGTGTATTTCTCGAAAACAGTGCAATTTGGGTTCACGTAGATCATAAGGTTGACGGAAACTCGGAGACTGCGCCTACCTGATGAGCCCGAACTGGAAGGGCGAAACCGGTCTTGGGCTGTCGAAGAGTTTTCAGCAACCTTGTGAGTAGTTTCCTTTATGAAAATATACTGCGATATCTCGAATATCGTGCCAACTGAATCATAATAGTGTAGTACATTCAGTTGTAGAATAGCATAAACCAGAGATTCGACTGAGTCTCCCGTGAAAACCAAATTGATTTGCAAATGAGTGTATTTCTCGAATGCCGCATGTCCTACGAAGAAACAATATCACTGCTTAACTGTGATATTGGTTCCTTGGAAAGGGCTTATCACCCAACTAGCATGGTATCTCGAAGCGGCCACTGCATTGTGAACTCCTGAAAAGTCCTTCCCATGTCCTGGGGCAATTATTTCCCTGAGTTTGCATCAAAAACGGGGAAGCACTGGGCTCGAATTTCGCTCCTTTCAGAGCTCAGCAGCAACGCGCATCCTTGGCCCTGTCACGGACGTCAGAAATGCGAGGCGTAACCTGAAGTCGAACGAAGTGTCATATCTGAATAGGCGAATATGTTTACTGATTGTAGAGTTATGGAGATCAGATTTTCACCGCTCCATTCTAGGAAGCTTTATGGGTACAGAGACTTTCGAGTCACCGCAGTGACATCACAAAAACACGGAATTTTTCCGCTCTTTGGTCTTTGGTTTGCGCTGAGAAGCTTGTCTTCTCCTAGAAAATCAGCAAATGTGTGTTGCACTTAGCACCAAAAAGCCCTGTCACTAACTTTGTAGCTAACCTCATCTTTCTCAATAAGTTTTGATTCAATTCGTTTTTAACTTGATGCCCCATTGGTTTGTGTTGCCTTTACCCTTCAGATGTGAACGGATGGTCGATCGCTTCTTATCGACCAGTACCGAGAATGAACCGTTCAGTTTTCCAGCTGAAATGTTCTCGAACGTTCAAAAAATCTGCTTCTGTCTCAAACTCATTCAAGTGAGTGATGCTCTGTTTTTCTTCCAAAACCTACGGTGTTGAAGTCTTGACAATAATCGCACGTCGTCTGAATTCAAACGCACTCTCTTGTCATCTGATCATCATCATCACCATCAACAGCATGACATCAGTGTTCAACACTGATGCTTCACTGCCGTACAGTCCATGGTTGTACGTGCTCTGGGATACTGCCAGGGCGCCCACACCTAGACAGGAGGACGATCAGGGTCCTCAGCCAAAGCCTTTGGCTCTAAAGCCTAACCACAAGGCAGCGGTGTTTGGCAGGAAATGCAAATGCATTACCATTTCTACGGAACAAGTCGCCACATGTTCCAACCCCCAACCTGGACGGCCAGGAGACGGTGTTCGTCAGACCTCTAACCATTGACCGACCTGGTATGAGAGACTCTGTGAGTGTCGCGGGGACGCTACCCAGTATAGCTCAATGAATCGCTGAGGTGCGCAAACCCTCACACCACGGTAAGGTCCAGTCTCTTCGTGATGGTCATCTGATAGGTTGATCAGAAGTTTTTACTTTGGGCATTTTCGGGAGATCGCAATCTGATTGGTCCACTGATAGACGGTTTGCGTCTCCACCGCTAATCACTGGATTCCTCGGTTACGTTAGACTGTAAGCCCAGACGATATGTTCCAGCTAGACGACTTTCGATGACTTGGCACAGGAGTATGTGAGCCATTACCGGCATTCTCGACTGCCACGGACTTTGACACCTTCCCGAGTGGAGATCTTGAGATGGAACACATCGAGGAATGAAGAAGTTGCCAGTCACGGCTCATTGACGGGTATGCAACAAACCTTCGATACATGGCTTTCTCTCCCGATCCCCCTCCGGTGAAAAGTCAGCTGGCGTCCCCGTATTTACGCACCTCATACGTCAGGTACCGCCTCCGGTGAGTGGCTAACAGCCCCCTTCCTAAATCATTGAAGAATGAAACTGTGGCACCTGTAACCACTACGCACCGAGTTCGCGGTTTTTTTAACCAACGATAATGAAGATGGTGTGTGTAGGTGGGTGAATCAAAACAATTCGTGGTAAGCCGCACGGCTGGTGAAAAGCAGGACTCTCCAAATAACCCGAGTGTACCAGCGAACCTGATACAATGAGCTGAATCCCCTACTCCTTTTTGCCACCTGTCTGTAACTACCAGACTGGTAACCTTGAATATGGCCCCGATGAGTGCCTGTGTTGGAGATATAGTGTTAGTTACAACATGGATATAACGCCATCCCTGGAAAATCTTATGCGGCTGGAAAACCGCCTGTTGAAATGCTTGATGAACACGTCTCAGGGGATACGCACGAACATATATTTTCGAACGGCCTTTACCTCCCACTTGTCACACAGTAAATCGGGAATGACAGCGAACAAAGTGCAAGCTGATCGTACTTTGAGGTGATTTTTACCTGGGATCTCACCCACTCAGTGGGGTCAGCCTATGCCAAGAAGTACCGAAAAATTAGCGTTGCGTAACTCACTAACATAGAAACGTCCAACCTCCCGTCTAGTGGTCCGAACACTTTAAAGTTCGACCACGGGCGGCTAACCAACAGAGTTATCATGAAAGGAAACTACTCACAAAGTTGCTGATAACTTTTGACAGCCCACGATTTGTTTCATCCTTGTTGGGATCCAGTGTGATGGGCTCTCATTTAGATCAGATATGGTGCCACTTCACGTGGTCACAGTTTGAGTGGCTCTTCAAGTAAAGACTTCTCACATGGAAATTTCAGTTTTATTGTGAAATTATTGTTCCTCTTAGCTACTCAAGACTCTCAATTGGGGGGGGCTTATTTCGGCTTGAAGAATCTTCTGATCGAACCGGTTTATTCACCGACGGTGACAAATTGTCAACCTTTTCATCAACTAGGCATTACCTTTTTCTTCGTTGAATGCAAGCAAACTGGAAGGGCAGACTAACGGAGCATCAGTAGGACAACAGCACATTTCAAAAACAGTCACGTGGCTAATTCAAGACATTCCAAGGAGTCAGCTGTTTACCTCATCTCACCACTGTTAAATAACTGGCTCGTATAGGGATAAAGTTTATTCAGGGCTTCAATTTCCTACACAGTTGGTCACATTTTACTTTCCGTTCATTTAGGAATTGCATGGAAAACGAATGAGAGAGGGTGTCAAATCGAGATCCACATCGGAAACTAAACAAACCCCAGCACCACCGCCAGAGAATCAGGAGACAGAAGAATTAAGGCGGATTATTGCTCAGAAAGACCATGAGATACGTATCCTTTCCGGTTGTTCTATCGATCTGCTTTTTTGCTGACTGCATTACACCTCCCTCTCGCAATGGTAGACTAAATTTAAATTCCCAGATCAATTTCCTCTGCAAGAAAAAGGCTCCTTTGTATCCAGAAAGCACTCGAGAAATTCCACTTACGAGAACCGTGCTCTACCTGATAGCTGCATTCAGATGTTATCCCGTTCTTGCTCCTGGGCCAAGGTACTATCGATTTAAATTTGAATGCGGTTACGGCTTGTGATTGGCAAGCTTTTACCTTGTCACGTGATGAACATTTCCCGGTCATAACCCACCCATTTCCCACGCTGAATTCCACCTCACCCCTCAACAAAGAGTACTCGGCAGAGGTAATCAAAGAGGTTCTGAATATGTCGGAAAATGTTTCACTTCGGCCACTCGGCCTATTTTCAAGGCCGCATTTCCCGATAACTTGAGGCAAGCCTTTAATGAAGGTGTTCACAAACTGTTCACCATGGAAAATGCTATTTCCGGTCTCTGATTTCTAACGATTGTTGTACAAGGACAGGTTTGTTTTAGACATTGAATTTCAAGTGTGAAGTAGTCTCTGTCGTGAGCGACTATCACTAGCGAACCGACCAACAGCAGAGTCATAGAAAAGGGGGATTTTTGCAGGGGTCGTCCAGCGTATAAGTTGTAAATGATTGAAAGACGCAATTTTTGGTTTTTCATTGATATTCAAGTCGATTTATTAACTAAGACACAATTTTGGGAAAGCTCTCTGTCTAAAAAATATCTGGGATGCCTGGCAATATGAGTATATGAAATTAATCAATTTTCCAACAACCGTAAGAAGTACTGCCAGATTTTTGTGATGTGCTACTCATAAGGTTGCTGAAAATCCGTCAACAGCCCCTTTTTGAGGCTCATCAGGTAGGCGCAGTCCCCGGGTTTCCGTCAGCCTTATGTTCTACTTGAAACCTTATGAGTAGTACATCACAAATGTTTACATCTACCCCGATATCTCGAATATCGTAGCGACTGAAACATGAGGCGGCCTGGTGAAGCACATTCAGTTGCCTGAGAACATCACAAACGAGAGATTCCGCTGGGTTTCAGGTGAGTTTCTCGAAAAAGCAAATTAGTTTGCAAATGAGTGTATATTAGCCACAGACAGATCTTTTTATTGATGTTGTCTCTAGAAATTCCTTCCTTGATGTAAGTCATCCTGCGCGGTCAAGACGTCGGCGAGTTATCATACTCAACGAATTTTTGGAATATAGGTAGCTCGAGTGCGTTGCTTGTTTTTTAGTCTTGCCACCGAGCTTGGTAGTTCGATTGCAACCGTCCATACCGCACCGACCTTATAGGCCAGCAAACGTTACCCTGATCCTATCGACTTGGCATGTGATTTCGTTGTTCACAGGTCCAACGAGAATTGTGTAACTGTTCGCGACTTGACCATCTGCAGGTTAGGGCTTGCTCTCACCTAGTCTCACAGTAGCAAGTTGCCTTCACATCGGTGATGTCCAGCTCCCAATCGACGGTCGTTTTTGTATGATTCGCTTTCAAGATAATCCAGATGGTGTCTAGTCACAAGGGTCCTAGAGATTTCCGCGAAATGGCGACGATAATGAACTGTTGAAGGTAGGGATCACATGTGAAACTTTCAAAGACTATGGAAAGACAACGCGCGTAAAGCTTCAGGTAAGCTTTGGTGTGCACTGACGATGTGTTGGGGACCACAGTCTTCTTAATGCCTTCTTAATACCGTGAACCCCGGTCTGGATAGCCGATTGATAGCCTGGTGCGCTTGGCCAAACCAGAAAAGTCGACGAACATGCGAAGCGCCTGATCTATTGATCACTGTCGCGTACAAGCGGGTCAAAAAGTGAATACAACTCATCTGTCAACGACAAGTGAAGAACAACCAATGAAATCTGTCTCAAAGAAAAACGGCTATTCCATTGGCTGTTATGTAGTCACGTTATGTTCGGAGCTGGTTCTTCTAGTACGATGTTAACTTGATCGTTGATCAAGCATTTTCAGTCCACCTGCCACGCTCAATGGACGGAGCAACAACCATGTTAGTATGGTTGTGCACATCCTTTATCGTATCAACCCTGAACTAACTACTCACAGCTGATAACTTGTAAGCTCTTTCGAGGTTGTTTCCGAGCTGGGCTGACATAATGGACTAACAAATAGGTCATAGTGCCAAACGTAGCATATCTTTTCTACCAGTATTCGTCAATTGAATCCTCGTCGATTCGTGTCTATTATCTCTTGGGGTCTGTCTTATGTATCCACTGAACTTCTAACTTGTGTAGACTCGTTCCAAGTTCACCGACTTGGTTCTGCACACGCTGTAGTCAGATTTTCGTTCAATTCGCATGTTCCTTGACTCCTTTCACTCTGGACTAAAGACGTGTTGATTGGTTTACTGAAACGAGGACAGACCGGAGAGCACTATGTAGCCCAGCTTGAAGAAACTTCACACGATCCCGTCTCCGCTACTGACGAAGATTCACAGCATGATGACAAGAACGACAGCACACCGAAACTCGAAGACGAACGAGATAAAGCATGCGGACAGACCGCAGCCCCTAACAATGTGGTCCAATGGCTGGAACGAGGGACTAAGGACCGACTGCGTAAGTGATCCTGATGCAACCATTTGGTTGAGTAAACCTACTTTTCCTTGTAATGTTTTTAAAGTCTTACCCAAGAGCTGCCCAATTTCCTTGTTTGTCACACCAGTCGAGATATAGTGCTAGAGACAGACGTTTTGTCTATAAGCTGTAGAAAATGGAAAAATGGTCGTTTCAACAGTCGTTTGTAGTTCGGAGCGGGATCTACTGATCAGAATACGCACGGCAACGTGACAGAAACCCAGACGCGTGACCCTAGGGCGTCGAGCATGTGGATATACTGACCTAATGCCGGTGGCTTATAGACCATTTTTGAGGGACCACCAATGTCACCGTTGAGAATTGGTCGGGACGCGCCCAGACATGAAAAAAACACATGTGCAGATAGTAACGCATCCCCAAGGTACGACACGTCCGGAAAGTAGGTGAGTTGGCGGCTCGCGTCAAACACGGCTTAGCAACATACCACCAGTGTAGTGGGCCTGAAAGTGTTCACGACCGGAACACCGCCATTGGCTGCACAGAACGAACAAATGAACGACCTTAGTGGCCATTTATTCATCCTATATATTTACGCAGACGCTCTGTACGTATTGTCCTGACAGTACAGCTGTGTCCCGAGTTCTCTGTCTTCTCCCTATCGCGTAGTCTGGCAGGCTCAGTGCAGGCGTAGCCAGTGGACGGCCACCCACGATACAACTGATCTCAAACCCACAGTTCACTAGTAGCCCCCGCCTATGTGTGGGTACATGACAGCGTGAGCGTTAGAAGCGCCAAGGAGCCAGAAGAAGGTTAAAAGCTGAATAGTGAAACAGAAGGGTAGAATGCACTGTCTACGCACGTTCTTCTCGAATTTTCGGTGAGCACATTCGCCACACTTAGCAGCCAAAGAGTTACAAGTTTAAACACCTCCAGAGTGTCCATATTCTTCCACGAGGAAACTTTCTTGGTCAGTACAGTGGCCAGTTTATTACAAGTAGTTTTACAAACACTTTGCAATTTGTTTCTTCAATTCTTCGATTACGTGAAAAACGCACCTACTACAATGCATTTTCACTTCAGTGAGAGCCTGTCAACCGAATAAGCGAATTCCTTTCAAAGCAAGAGGGATTTTCGGGATATGTAGACTCGTTGAAATATCAAATAGCCAAAACCAAAACCCTTCTATGCATAGCAACCAAAATGATGTAGCTATTCAGTGTTACCACCTGTAGATCGGTCACTTTTCATAGATCTTGTCTTTCAAAACTGTTCTAAATAGAATGTGGACAGCAGTGATGCCAAAGGTCACTTAGGTTACTTCACTGCGACAGCAACCATGACGAACACGAAAACAGGTTGTATTCTTCATCATTAATATGAAGTACTTTTGATCAATGGAGAGGATACACCATATTTGGAGCGCTAACCAATCAAATGCGACCATTTTCGAAAAACACTGATCGCGCCTGTCCGCTCATGAATCAATCGATCTGAAAAGAATGCGGTTTCACGTGACTTCCCCGCGGAATGGCCGCTGTCTACGGGCTTCACAAATGACCTTGAAGGCTATGAGCGTGACCAAAATGTTTTATAAAACCCGCACTGACAAACGAAAGGGGTTGGTTTTGAACACAGTTCTACTGATACCTAAACCCGTTCCTGAATAAATCTTATGCCAACTATCTCGTCCATATTGCTCATGAAGTAAAATTGACCGTTCGGTTTGGTGAAGTGATCGATTGCATTTGACACCGGCTTCAAGGACAAAAGTTCATCAAATACACGAAAAACACTTGTTCTTCATTCACGAAAAAAACTGCGTGATTGATACGGAATACCCACTAATTCGGCACTCAAAATTCTAGTTGGAAAGTGGTTAGGTACTTTAAATCCCTTACAAATTGTATAACAGCTCACTAGAATTTGCAATAAGTACCTTGAAAGTTAGTGAATATACACTCATTTGCAAACTAATTTCGTTTTTCCAGAGATTCACCCGGAACCCAACTGAAAACATCACAAACGAGCGATTCAGTTGGGTTCCGGGTGAGTCTCTCGAAAAAGAGTGTATTTCGACAACTTCGTGCAATTTGGTTTCAAGTAGAGTTTAAGGTTGGCGGAAACTCGGGGACTGTGCCTACCTAATGAGCCCCAAAAAGGGCGAAACCGGTCGTGGGCGGTCAAAAAATATCGATACAAACACCAACTATTCACAACATTTAAGAAGAAAGAAATTAGCCTATTCAGATATACCTTGAAGTTTCTTACCTCATCTTTTGACAGTAGACGCATTAGGAGAGAATTTACGAGAATCATTTCCCCTTATTTAACATATTTCTACAGTGGGGTCACTTGCAAATGGTCGCGAGCAGGCATTTGAAACCTTCAAGCGTGAACACCACTCAACCAAACATGTTGAAGCAAAGAAAACAGAGCTACGATCCTTATATGCCGAGGCTAAGAATTACGCAAACGAAATGTGTCTGGCGCGGAATGAAGTGGGTAAGATTACATTGATTTGTTGTCTTGATGATTGATTCGTATGCATTTTACTTCATTGCAACATATATTAAGTGTACTTCATTCATAAGTTCGGGAAAAAACCTGATAACAAAGTCTCATTTTGAAAAAAATTCCCTGTAATAATTGCACAGTCGTTGTCCCTAGTTAGAAGCCTCCATAGACGTCCATCAAGAAAAACCGCTCTGAGTCGTCCTCTTTAAGGCTCCTCGCTCCCAAAAGAGACCCTGTTTCAAAAACAGTTTTTGTCGGTCCTTCTGGGTGTAGCCTAGAGGGGTAGAGGAACACTAGTGCAACACCAAGATGATTGAAGACTGTTTTGATCACGCGTCCCCAAGGTAACCCAAACGAGACCCAGCTGACACCATTGCAACCCGGTTTCAAAGACGCATTTTGAGTACCAATGCTTTTTGGTGATTTATTTGAGGTTGTCTTACTGAGTTTTTGAAATTCAGGCAAGTCTTAATCTAGCGCTGCTCAGATCCGCCCCCCTTTCCCTCTTACTACCTTATGAAACTCCACTCCAAAGAAGGAAAGCAGTTTTCATAAAGGAAACTACTCACAGGGTTGCTGAAATCTCATCAAAAGTCCACGACTGGTTTCGCCCTTCTTGGAGCTCCTCAGGTAGGCGCAGTCCCCGAGTTTCCATCAACCTTATGTTCTGCTTGAACCCAGCTTGGACTGTTTTCGAGAAATACACTCATTTGCAAATCAGTTCGGTTTTCACGAGAGACTCAACTGAATCTGTCGTTTATGATATTCTACAACCGGAAGCAGTTTTCAGCTAACCAAATGGCCTCAGTGAAACCTTCCAACGTCTACAGATTTCACACAAACTAATGACGGAAACATAATGAGTCCTGTAACCGGCAATGAGACTTCTAAACGCGAGAAGAAATGTAGGAACAAACTAACCATTTTGGTTGTGGGTTGGCTGAAAATCTTGGCAAGCAAAGCTATTAAACGCAGCGGCAACATTCTGTTGCAGACCGTTCTCTCGGTGATCAAGACGCACACACGTATAGATAAGAATGGATTGTTGGGTAACAGGATAACAGTGGGTCAAATTCAAACAGCTGTCTACAGGGTGGGACGCGATGATACTCTTCGCAAGGGTCGCACCGATTTACAGTGACACTCAGGTACACCTGAACGAACAGACCCACAATGAATGGATCAGCAACTTGTCCTTAGTGTACAACGTAATCAGTGGAAGTTGCCTCAAAAAGTACACAGCAAGCAAACGACCTTAAGTGTCAACCCACTAATTCAGATAGGCCATCGTTCAACCGTAACACCATTCGGGTGACTAGCTGCCATGCTACCTGAAGGAAGCACGGGGGCTGGGATACTGTCAGGTTGCCCAAGCCTAGGCAAGGGTAGTCGAGAGGCAAAGGTCAGGTTCGAACCACGGACCTTCCGGTCAGTAAATTCGCGCTCCAACCACTTGAGCCATCTCGCCGAACGACAGGTTATCCACTGTCGAACCTGACGTATATTCTTGTCATGCAGAAATGTGTACCGATTTGTCCGAATAGCCGTTTGTCAGAAGCGCGATTCCAGGGGAGAATGGGTTCGGTTTGGTCCTATCGGTTAACTAGATCGTTCAAGCTTAGTCACCTAGGGGCGAAACGAGGCATTCCTTTTGCTTCAAGGGACTAAAGTTGCGAAGAAAGAACCCGTTGGTGGGATTCGCAATTCTTCCGGCAACTCATCTTCCGAACGAGTTCAGTAGACATCAAAGAGTCAGAAAGCCGACTGTCAGATGCGCTTTTTAGCGCGTTGACGCGCTGAGACTTTCACAAAGTTGGACTTCGGCTCTGCCGGATCGAGGATTTCATCCATACGTCAATGCCAGAAGTGACAAAGGTTGTTAATCGTGTCTCGTCTCACTAGCCATGCAGCCTACTCACAAAAGTCTTTCCAACATATGCCCGGAAATCGATCAGGCTGCGCACAACAACAGCCACTGCGGTGGAGGCTATCTCCACCGGTCAGTTAAAACCTCATCTGCGTGCACCAGGAAAACTTTGTCCGTTCGACGGGTTGTTCTTGGCCCGTCGGTTACATGATCACCCCAAAAGTGCTGTCTAATGGTTTATCTATATCTGCTTGTCCGTGTCAGGCACACAAATCATCACGCTTGGGCGTGTTCACGTTCAGGTGTGTCCAACATCCGCTGGCGGACTGGTAGTAACACACTTCGGTCGCATGCCAAGAGTCTGGAGTTCAAACCACGATACTCCCAAAGATATGCGCTGCTGATTAGCTGTAATAAGAGCGGAGTTTGAGTCCCGCGCCAGCCCCTGACTAATTGCTCCAGGATGGGTAAGGGACTGTGCAAAAGAAAGTGATATAAAATAAATTCTGCGAATCTCGCAACAGTTCAAGACCTATGAGCATTTTCGCCGCCAGTCTAGGCTAGTTTTTACATTGTACCAATTTTTCGTGTTTCAAAAACCAAGGAGACGTCATCGTCGTCTCAGATTTCAAGTTGGTGAACGCACGCACGGGTTGTTATGCCATCTGGGACACCGCATACCAAACAGTGGACAATCGCTGATCTGAACTGGTGCACTCTTTCAACACACTACTGATTTTCTTTCAGGTAGTTTATTTTAAAGGACAATTTTCAACGCCAGCATACTAAACGTTAGTCCGCTTTCAGGGACACTACTGTTTGAAAGCTTTTTTTCACTCGTAGAGTACATGATACGATACTTACCAAAGAGAAGTCTTCCCTGAATGGCGAGAGTTCGGGGGGAGTGGAGACGTTTAGTTTGAATTAAACGAACCACCGAAAGTTGAGATGGGGGTTTGAAATTCCAAATATTGGTTAAGAAACATCGCAGACATTAATTGGTGAATGTCTTTGATGCTCCGTAAAAGCACGGTGCTCAGCCAATGAGAGAATCTACAAATATGGAGTGAGTAAGCTTCACAAAGAGGCCCTCCGCCTTCTGGTGAAAGGATTATAGGAACCCGCCGAAATCTACTGTCAGACACCGTTGTTGTAACATTTCCGAACCCATCAGCTAAAGTACTATCTAGACCAATGCTATCCTGATCAAAATCAATAAACTTCTCGGGCATGAACCTGTTATATCTGCTGCTTCGTCAATCAGTGTAATCTGCTGCCAACCCGCTCCAGTGCCTAGTTGCCGAGAGGAAAGGCTCACAGAAGGGAACACAACAGCTATATTCCGAACAAGCGAGTGAAAAAAAGTACAACGGTCTGAAGCTATTTATTGAAAGGACACTGTCTGAACTTAGTCCAATAATGTCGCATACGGTCTGGCTTTGGTACGAGGCTGCGACGTGCTGAATATTGCGGGGGCGTTGTATAACCTTGATCAACCCGCGCTGTGTGGGTTTGATACAAGGCTGTGACGCGCTGCATGTTCATGGGGCGTTGTCTGTCTGGCTAGCGGAGCGAGAGTCTCGGTAGATTTCGGGCCTTCAGTGTTGACTTTCAGGAAGCTGATCTTCCTGATACAACCGTGTACCATAGACACATTGTTTCCAGCTGATACAGTTTCAATCACCGAAACACGGGATAGTGTGGGCGTACAGCTAGACCTTGGGGGCGACGGCATATTCAATGTGTTCGGAAATCGGGCAGTTACTCATCTGAAGCGATAGCTTTGATGCATAAGCGCCACTGAATGCGCAACTGGATCATTAGCGATTGGTGAGTTGAGTCACGGGGTCCCCATCCTGGGAGGCTACGTTTACTGGTTAGTGTTTTCATAGACGTCACCTCTCAGTCGCTTCCACTAGGCACCGGGCTGGGCAGAAAGAACTCTGCGAGGCAGATGATCTTCTGTCATGTGGAGTATATGTCTCATCATCGGGGAACAGTTCCTCTTTCCTCAGACCATCTGGCGTACCTCAGGATTTCTAATCCAACGTGCCAAGCATACCCAACCAACGCTCCGGGGACACCGATGGTCAACCACTGAAATCTCCCCGTGTGTCCTCCGCACGAAGAGGCCAGGATTATGATTCACAAAACAGTATGGATCGCACCGTTGCGGTGTACACTTTGACCTTGCCGTCGCTGCCCTAATATTCCTAGGTTGAAAAAACTGCACTGGCCTTCCTGATGCCAGAAGTGATCTCATCTCCACCGGGTAGTGAGATTTATCGATTGGCTCGCCTGCAAGCATGAGGTTTGGGTTCGATCCCACTCAGGTTTGTAGCAGCACTTTATAATTTGTAGGTATGAAACAATGCAACAGAGTCATTTAGGTTATTTAACATCGTTTGCATTTGGGGAGGATCTCAATCAAGGAGAGCGATATCTTTCACATACTCAGCGTCTGTGAAGGAACGTCCCGAGAGCATTCCGACTTCCGAGGTTTCTGAGGCAGGCAGGAAAAATTCAAGCAGTATATCGATAACAAATTTGAAAAGGAAGGGCGAGAGATGGCAGCTTTGTTTAACAGGACTCAGGCGAGAGCTTCCTGTATACCCGTACGCCCCCAAAGGAGTTTGAATGCAGTGCCCTTATAAGTGATAGAACTTTGGAAGAGGCACTTTTGATTGCCAAGGATTGAAGACCATCAACAGAATCAAAAGCAGCTTTAAGATGAAGAAAAACGGTCAACGTAGGACTTTTGAACCAGTGGCGTTGTTCAAGAATTTGTTTCAAGGTGAAGATGTGGTCAATGCATCCCCGATCAGGTCAAAACCCAGCCTGATTCTCACGAATCCGTTTCCCCCGATAGTGCATCAACCTTCGCAGTATAATGCCCGGTGACACGTTAGATGCGACGGATACCAGACGTTCTCGAATGGAAACTAGGATGACGATCGAGAAGCTCCATTCGGCTGGCAGTCTTTTTTCGTTCCCGGGGCCATTTACCTCGGCTACTTTTGGACTAGAATTTTTTACCGAATTCCTTTCCTTGTGATATCTCTTGATATGAAAACTTCTTTCCGACTGCATGCACTGAAAGTGCCTTTTTCTCTCTGTCACTCTAGATCAGTTGCAGACGAAACTGAACGACCTGGTTCACAATGAAACTTCAGACCAATGTTTCAGATCCAATGAACTTGAAGCTGTACGATCAATGCTGGACACAAAACGGGCGACCTACCGTACGGCCTACTCAAAGCTAAGAGAACTTCGTCCACGGATTAAACATTTGCAACATGCTTTGGAAACAGCGAAAGTGCGTTTGATACAAGATTTCGAACAATGGTGGCATCATCAAAGTCCAGCCAGTCAGCAGGTCACTCCTTTGGACACGACCGCGGTTGAACCAGTCCAGGTAATTCAGTAGTTTCTGGATCCAACGAACCGTTTTCTTATGGCACTAACAAAATCCGTTTTCGGACAGTGTCATTCATCTTCGGTTTGGACGAGGAAATTTGGCAGTGCTACCTGCACGTACAGAAAACTGTCCGTGAAATCCATGAAAAATCAGTCTTGTAATGTACTACTCATAAGGTTGCTGAAAACTCCTCGACAGCCCACGACCGGTTTCGCCCTTCCATTTCGGACTCATCAAGTAGGCGCAGTCCCCAAGTTCTCGTCAGCCTTTGTTCTACTTGAAACCTAATTGCACTAAATTAGCGAATATACACTCATTTGCAAACTAATCACTAACTAAAAGAATCAGTTATTAATTCCGTGTAACGAAGCTCAAAACGTAAACGGTTTTTTGTTGTAGTAGTCCACAAGAGATCGAAATGGCTTAGGGTTTAAGCCCGTGGTTTGAATCCAACCCTTACATCTAGATTTTGACAGTATTCCATCCCACATACAGAAATTGCATTTGCTTCACCCTTTGAGGCATACTTTCTTGACTTCCGATCCCGCCAACGAGGTCACAGCGAGAGCCTTTGACCATCGATCAGTGTGGTACTGCGGTTGCGAAGGTGCTGACAGTAGAAAAATACGCCCACTTACGTCTCGCTTGCAAGGCTCCCTATCCTCAATGGAGTTGCAATCTATTTTTGGACACTGGATGAAAGACACTCCGTGTTTCACTTTTATTCTTTCAGACTAAAAATCACCCTGGAGACGGAAAAATGGAATCCAACATATGGCAGCCTGCTTCCTCCGTAGGTGGGTTCGTTTCCGTAAGCCGATATGTTTTTTCCATATCCCAGTGAAAGTTGATCGTCATTCTTACCTGCAGGTGACAGCGTTAAGCGCACCTTTTATGCTACTTGCAAGTGTATAGTAGTTTGAAAATGATTCATTTTCTGACTTCAGCTCGTTATGGGTGTCAAATTACTGAAAGGAAGTGTTGTAGCATTTTAGATAGTTAAGAAGTCCCAGAAGAAAGTGATAAGAAT